GTATTAAGATTGTTAATTTGCCAAATAGAAATCACATGAATATTTTCGGTACTACTTGCATTATTATTGTATCACACTTGTGTATTTTGTGCCTTGGGTTAGTAAGTTTTGGTTGTATTCCCTAATATAGGGCCAAAATTCTTTTGCAAGAAAAAATATGTGTATTTTGACTAGTTTGGAGTGAAAATAATTGTTTTGTGCAAGAAATTCATCCCCCTTGTGTTTTATGTGTTATGGGGCTGAGTGGTGATTTTGTAATATATATGTTTTTGGTTAAATGTAGTGTATTGCACAAGTCCTATAGAGTCTTTGGAGTGTAATCTAGGGGTCGTTATAAACTTATGCACTTGGTTGTGATTTTGGACACCCTTATTATGTTTTGAAGGTATAAATAGGTAAGTTTGCATTTTGGTGTCCAACTTTTAATTGAAAAATGATTTGAATATGAAACTATTACCATTAGTTAGAGCTTGAAAAAAACTTTCTGTAAACTCCTACATCACCTTAATCAGACGTCAAATGAAGATTTGGTGTGTGTCGGAAGTTTGGACAAGAAATCTGCTAGCTGTTATAGATTTTGCAATTTATGCTACAGCATAATTGTCCCAAAATCCATTCTTTTTTTTTTTTTGCTATGTTGACTTCAATTTGATGTTATCTTACCTTGTAAGATATCCATGCTTCTGTATATAAGTTTTGCTTGATTTTATTTTTTTAAAAAAATAATTTTTAAATGATTTTATAACATCTTAAGTTTTAAAAACTTGAAATCTTATTTATGTAAATTTTACAAACTTGATAATTTACTTGGGTTAGTCCCATAATTACTTTAATTATAGAGTTAATTGTAGATTAATAAGGGAAACCTTACATATATAGTTAACAAATATTAGTGACAAATTGACAGTTGGTGCTTGGCTCTTCATTTTAAATAATTAATAATTTATTTTGTACCATCTAATAATATAAACTACCAATTATTTCTCAAAAATTAGTTGATAATGAAATTTGCATATTTACCCAAAAAATAAGTTAGCACATGATTGTTTGACTGGTGAGGAGCTCTCCCCTTATTTAAGTAGGAAAATGGAGGGGAGGGAAGCCATCCCCTTGTTTGGTAATACTATAGGGAAGGAAAGAGAAAGGAAAATTTTCTCTCTTCTAAATTAGAGGGATTAAAGGGATACCTTTCACTCCCTCCCTTTTGTTAAAATTCCTCCGCTCTCATCCCCTCTAACCAAGCATGGTTAGAGATATTGTTTATTGATATTATATGTAAACTATAGGTTCAAGATTGTTTAGAATTCTAAATTCATTTTTAATGTAATATTCTCATTCAACTTTTGAAAATTATATAATCTAACCTTTATTGTTAATAAATGTTAAATTTAACCATTAATTGACTAAAAAATGATAGAAAATAGTCTAAAAAATTATAAAGGATCACAAAATTACAATAAATAACCCAAACATTATGAACAATGACCCAAATTATAGAAAATGATCAAGAAAATTTTATTGATCTTTTTTTATAATTTTTAAAGTTCTTTTTTGTCATTTTCTAATTAACTAAAAGTCAAAGTTACCTTTTATTAATAATATGAGCTAGATATCCTTTTTTTGTCTTTTTTATGCTATTAATAAAAGAGAAAATTTATATACTTAATATTTAATGTTATTATTTTTAATTAAATCAAGATATGTGAATTTTTTATATATTATATATTCTGTAATAAATTGTTGTTATTAATTTTAGGGCAAACTTATATTCTTAAACTTATATATTTAATATACTGTTATTCAATTAAATTAAGACATGTAAATTTAATATGTTAATAATATTAATAACAAAAATTTGTTATAAATTTAATAATATATAAAACATACACATGTATTTATTTAATTGGTAACAAATACCTTATACATATAAGCTTAAGTATATAAATTTTTTCCTTAATTTTATTAACACATTAAAATTCATTTGTCATTATTTGATTAAATACATATATTAACTTATTAAATATATCAAACTAAGTATACAAGTTTTATCCATTAACAAAGAACTCGAGACCTCCTTAACTCAGATTCATCAGCGTGCCCTTTACAAGCTAGTCCTATGTAGCACTAGATAATTAAATGACTAATACAATGTTATTAAAATCAAACTATTTATTGAACTGGTCCAGATATTGGCTTACAATTCAATGGTCGAACCTTGGTTCAATTAATCATGAATAAATTGTTATAATTTAAATATTATATGCTTAAAGTATAAAGAAATAATTATATATAATAACAAAAAAGAATGTTTAAATTTCAAATAAAATAATATACAATAATAAAAAAGATAGTATCAATCAATATCACATCATTTTCATCCAAAATATATATAATTTTTTATAATTTATATTTTATAACTTTAAAATATATAAATATATACATAATTCATGCATATTTCTTACATTTTTTTGCATTTCATAATGCTTATTAGGTATAAATTTGCATAAATTATAATTTAAAAATATGAATTAAAAAATAAAAAATAATGTGTCCCATTCAACCAGTTTCTTGCCTGCTTTGGCTAGTTTTATGGTGATTGGATAAGGCTTGGGACCGAGTTTTAATTCAACTAGTTGAACCGGTTGATTTAGTTTGATTTAAATAACACTAATACCCTATTTTTTGAGGATGGTTTGTCTAGAAATAATGATAAAAAAAAAATCTTTCAACCTGTTTAAAATTTAGAAAAATAATTCATGGGCCTATGACATGAGCATGAAAATTGAAGGGATGCTTTTGATTATCAGTTTGTCACCTCAATATCAACCTCACGGAAATATTTACTTTGTTTTGTTTTTCGAGAATTAATATGTAATTTGAGGTTGAATTATAAGTTCAAGAATAATTTAAATTTTAAACTTATTTTAATATATTTTAAACCCTAAAATAATTAAACTTGAGGCAATTTCCACCTCACCATTAAATTAAAATAAATGTCCATTACTTTTTTTAAAAAAATAGGGCTTGATATGCAATTTCATTCAAAGGAGAGTTGGAGAGAGTGGATTTGAGAAAAATTACACATCATACCCCCCTTTTTTTTAAAGTAACGGATATTTGTTTTAATTTAATAATAAGGTGAAATTGCCCTAAGTTTAATTTTTTAGGGTTCATAGTGTAACAAATACAAACTTAGGGTTCAAATCACTTGTGAACCTATAGTTCAAGGCCCAAATTGCATACTAATAATTTTTTTATCAAAAGGAAGAAAAGACTTACCTTCAAAAAAAAAAATCAATTTGTCCCTATAATTTTGATTCACTTATAAATTAGATCATAAATTTTAACTTATTGTAACTCGATTCTTATAATTTTAGTTTTGACTTGATACAACTTAGTCCTTATAATTTTAACCATTTATAATATTGTTCCCTATATTTTAAAATTTTAAAGAGTAAATCTATTTTGAAATTTTAATCTTTATAATCTTTGTAAAGATTTAAACTAATTTAAAAATAATTTTTTATAATTTTATTTTTTATAGGGACCAATATTTTAAATAGCTAAAACTATTGAGATTGGGTTGCACCGAGTCAAAGTTCAAAAAATGAGTTACAACTGAGTCAAGACTATAAAAATTGAGTTATAATGAGTCAAAGTTTAATAATTGAGTTACAAATGAATGAAAATTACAAGAACCAAATAATTAATTTTTCATTGAATAAGGGGGTTAAAGGGTAATCTCATCCTTAAATTATAAGCCTATGATTATCTGGGATCCTATATTTATTTTGAGTTCAATGTTCCATTTGACATTTAAAAATGATACAATATGCTCCCACTGTTAATAAAAGTTAACTTAAACCATTAGTTGAACAAAAAATTATAAAAAATAACCCCAAAAATTATATAAAAAAGGACCTAGAAAATTACAAATAAGTACTATTTAAAAATTTATACTTATTGTCATTTATTGTAATTTTTTAGATCATTTTCTCTAATTTTTGAGGTCCTTCTCTATAAGTTTTTTATCAACCAATAATCAAAATTAATATTTGTTAACAGAAGGGGCGATGTTGCACTATTTTAAATATTGAAAGAAAATGTTACACCAAAAATGAGTTTGCAGTCCTAGATGTTTCTATACATATAATTTAAGGGTAAAATTATCATTTAACCCAAAAACATTATCATGAAGATCAACCCTTCTAAGCTTAACTCCATGATTTACTGACTTTTGCTAAGTTCTTATTTTCCAAATTAGTACCATTATTTATTTCACATGTCCTCTTTGCTTCTTGAATATAATTAATTCTTATTTTCCTTGTTAATGTTTCTGTTGTCTTTTTTAAGGTTTTATCTTGTGGTTATAAGTTTCTATTTCTTTCTTGTTATGTTTATAGTCTTTTGTGTTTTTTCTACAAACAGGCTTGAGTGGATAGTTCAACTATTCCACTTGTTCTTTTTATTGAACTTATCATTTTCCTTGTTTAATAATATTTGACTTTATATAAAATAAAATAAAATTAGAAGAAGCAAATAAGGTAAAATTAAAATCAAACAACAGGAAATAATTTGAAAAAGAAAAATTGTCCAGAACATTTCATTTTACAAATTAGTCATTGCCCAATTTCCATTGCAATTTGTGCCTTCGAATTAGTGAGATTGTGGGTGTCTAAAGGCCTTGATTAGTCTTTTGACCTTTTGGTATATCCCTACTTTATAAATTACAATCAATATGATTCAGTATTTCACTCACAAAATAATAATAATAATAATAATAATAATAATAATAATAATTGGCTGAAATAATTTCAAAATAAAATTACATTTGACAAATTTCTTTAAAGGATCAATCATATGATACTGAGTCACATTTAATAATAATTCTCCTAAAGAACTCTACAAAATTTAAAACCACTTAAAGAGACTTCAACAGTTAAACCAATTTGCTCATGGTTTTAGAGCATTCAGTAACACAAAAAGTGACGTAAAATATATGATAAATAAACAAAGATGTATATTATGATTTATTTCAATGGTAATGGAAGTTAATATTGATAATGACATGTATAGAATGTGAGGGAAAGGGATGGATCACAGTACCGCAAGCAAGAGAGAACAAAGACTTTGCTTGCAGGAGCACTAACTTGGCATCATCCTAAACCTAGTACAAATTGTAGAACAGCCTGACAGATAGAATTTAATTTTGTGAAGCTCAGGTAAAATTTAAACGATATATATTTTTATCAATCTAAACCTATTTAAAAACAAAGAAGAGAAGAGAAAGCATTCAGAATCTACAACATAGAAGGCCCTGCCTCCAACCACGGCGCTTCCGGTAGCGTCTCCGGTCGGCTTTTGCCATTCTTACTGGGCTGCTATTCCATTCAGATTGAAGTCTGTAAGCACGAGAACAAAACCAGTATGTTAGTCATGCAATTCCTGCAAGAAGGCTAATCAATAATCATAAGAGAGAGAACAAGACTCATCAAGTTTGCTTTAAGTGTTTGTTATCAGGTTCCTAGAAAAAATACAACACACGATTTTTGACAGCTTGGATCACATTTTAAATCTCTACGAGAACTTGATAACAAATAGCCAAGATCATAAGTTTGTTTCTAATGATGAGTTTTTGATGCAAGTTTATAGAAATTTACACTGGAAAGGCAAAGGACCGCGTGCTAGTCGCGCTGCTATCTGATCTAAGAGAGATGCTGCCAGAATAAGACACGGGATCCACGTAAGTTATTCGGCTCGATACACGACCTACAGCTGAGAAACTTGTTTCACCCAAGCTGTGACGAACATGACTTGTTACAACAGCCTGATCATCAGACTTCACACCTACGGCCTCCGATGAATTTTGAGTGTCATCGTGTTTAAAGTCTTCGACTTGGTCGAATTCCTCTTTGGCACCAGCTGTAGGGACCGGAGAATCAAACTGAGAAGTGACGCCAACATTCTCTGGTATGTCAGCATTGCTGACATTACCATTTGATTCTTCTGCTGCTATAGCAGACAAGGTTGGGACAGTTTCCTCAACCTCATCTTCAGTTTGCTTAGGTTTGGAGGGCAATTCAGGCTCACTAGAAACCTGCAGATAAATCAAAATTATCACTTTCTAACATTTTCCCTTTCCCTCACAAAGGTACTGAAAATCTAACCAATCATTGAACTAGTTAAGGCACTAGTTCAAAAGTTAAATATCAAAATCATCAAGACATTAGTTTAATAGTTTATCGGTTTAAGGCAAGTTAACATAACATAACTCACATTCATTAACCTATGCACACATACGCCTCTATGGTAAGAGCAAACAAAATTAGCATTAAGGCCAATATCTTAGCACCATGAAAAGTTGTAAAACATGCCAAAAAAGTCAACCAATCATTCCAAAATAATATACATATCCAATGATTAATACTATATTAGGATGCTGAATACCTGTGGATGGTTTTGTTCAGCCTTGTCGCCCTCCTGAATCAAAGGCGTCAACTGTTCTTCATCCAAATCTTGCAATAAAACTTTGTATCCAGCTAACAGCATCTCTTTATCAACATCTTTAGCAAATTTTCTGGTTTCATCATCATCCTTTAGCATCAAATCCTCGAGTTTATAACAATTAGTAGAAACTTTATCAGTTTCCTCTGTCATTGCAGGCAAATCTAGGAAAACAGGAAATGGTACATCAGCTGCACAATGTTTTTTGCCAATTTTTCGCTTCTGTGATCCTCTGAGGATGAGAATTTATAAGCAGCCTCTTCATTTGTATTCTCTAACAAAATCTTTTTCTCAGCCAGGATTCCTTCATCAACACAGATATCCTTGATAACATGTTCATCGCTTTCTTTATAAACAACTACCAAGTCTGGTTCACATTCAGTAACACTTTTGTCCATAAAATATCCGGCGGATTTTTTGATGAAGCAACCTCTTCTGGAAGATCCAAACTCTTGACTGATTCAATATCTTGTGCAAAATCAGGACATGGATCACTAGGGGATTCTGTATGCAATTCTATATCCTGCTGAGAATGTGAGATAGCCTCGATCGAGTCCTTGACCTTTTCTTCACCTTCATTTTTAAGATCAATCATGCTCGTGTGAGAATCAAGTTTTTGAGAAGTCAAACCATTCATCGCCTCCATCTGATTCGGTAATGGATCTAATTTCCCCTTGTTCTCCTCTAAATCAAATGGAACCCTTTTCCCATTTTCCTTGGCTTCATGGTCTTCCAATCTGCATCGAGCAGAGTACGGATCATTGACATAAAATTCAAATGATTGACATTCAGGCTCACCAACATTTGAATGGTAGAAGGCCAGTTCACCATCTGCAAATACACTTCCACGCCAGTGAAAAATAAACTCACAAGATTTGAAATTGAAACCATAAAGGGAATTCAATAATAAGCAGAAAAATGAAATAAAGCAAATAAACACTTGTCCTTATTAACCCTAATAACAACAAAAGAACATGTGTAGACAAGCATGAACAGGATACATTTTAAATTTAGGACTCTAAAAGATACACATTAAATTACATCTGTTGAGTTACATCAAGATGATCCTGCATGAGGTCAAATGGCAGTTCACTCTAAAAAGGCAGATTCAAAAATCAGAAGTAGAGTTTTCTCATACCTAATTTCATGCTTAATAGGTTTAACACATGGAAAATTTTCTGGGCTCCAGCCAGAGGTATTTTCAGATTTCAAGCAAACACAGGTCAGATTCTGCTGCAACCTGACGATCAGTAAATAAGAACAACTGGTTTAGCAAGCAACATGGATAACTTGCTCATCGTGTCAAGGAAGGGGGGGGGAAGCAATAGTGAAATTGGCAAACTGAATTGAACAAAAATAAGCAAAAATGAACTCAAAAGTTCAACACAATTTTCAACAAGATTAATGGAGAAAATCAATTGCGGATTAACGTATAAGAAGGTCAGAAAAGTAATCTTTTGGAGTAGCCCAGTTACAGAGGATAAAGCTCAATCGAAAAACAGGATGGGTAAGAAGGCACTGTTCACAAGAGGCTGTAATATTTTTAATATCAACGGAATTATAGTAAGATTCTATAACCAAAACCCAGTTTTCCCATAACGTTGAAGGAATCTTTTACTGCTATACTAAAATCAATTTGCTCATAAAAAAATGGCCAAGGAAGCGTTTACCAAGAACTCAAACAATATAAAAAGGGTTTAGATTAAACTTAAGCTTCTAATCTCACATTTTGTTAATTAAAGAAATATCAGTTTCTTTCCTCTATGAAGCAATGAGAATATAGGGAGTACCAAAAAGAAGGTACTGCCTGACTTTTTCTTTATTATAAGTAAAGAGAATTTGGCTAACCAAGAGAAGAAGAAGAGAATCCAAGGACAGTTTCTGGAAGTATAGAAAGGACAAGAGAAAAGTTGGGAACTTTGAAAACTTTTCGCAACAAAATTACAAACCCAAGTTTTAAATTATTTGGAGGAAGAAAACCCACAATTTTAAATTCCCTATCAATGTTTTTGTCCACTAGCTCTGATTGGATCCAGCACAGAGGAATAAATAAAAGTAAAGTGAATATCTCACCTGGGTTCCATCTCTCTATAGAAGATTCATGAAGAAAATAACAAAGATCTATCTCAGATCCCAGATAAAACCTTCTTGGACTAGTAAAAGAAAGAAAAAGTAAAACATATAATATGCTACCTACCTTTCAATCTTCTTCTACCTTCGTTCAGAGCAGAAAATATGAGAAATTTCTTAACTGCACCCAGAGACAAAAGAGTCACAAACAAGTGACGACATAGGAGAAAATAACATCAATATAATCAAAAATGGTTCATCTTCATCTTCATCGCTTCTCTCAGACAAGTTCAACCGAACTATGGGATACAGAGAGCAAGTTTAGATGGCAAAAGAAGCAGAGGAATAAATTACCAAAAATGAAAGCTTTGTGAAGAGAAAAGCAGAAAGAGTTTGCTTCAGAGAGGAATGGACAGAGAATTAGATTATTAGATTAATAAAATAATAAGTGATTTCAGAGGAAGAAGGGTGATTAGAAGGGGTGAGTTGTAATCATAGCCCTTAATAATGGTCAACTCTCTCTCTCTCTACACCACCTTCACCATCTTCAGCAATTAATGTAAAAGCTTGACACAGCACAAATGGCACCTATCTCCGTAAGACTCGTAATAATAAATAGAGTATATTAGAGCATTAAATTATCATCTCTACCCCATTTCATATTCCAAAATTTAATTTCATACCTAAACTATGAAACGTTATAACCCATTTCAGTCCCCACCCATCATGCCGTTTTCTCCAAAGTTTCTGTCTTTGCCTGACCCACCTCGGATTCCTTCGTTTTCCGACCAGCCAAACACTGCAAAACTTTCCCAAGAAAATTCCTAAAGGAAACCAGAGAGAGAGAGAGAGAGAGAGGAACGGTGCATTTCAGGCTTTCAGGTTTCAGCCACCACCCAATTTGCCACTTTCTCTTCAGAGTCTCTTTCTTTACCTAATCCACCTTCGAATTCCGCTACCTTTTTTCCATTTTCCGACCAACCAAACAGTCGAAAACTTCCCCGAGAAATTGAAAAGTAAAACAGAGAGAAAAGGAAGGATAGAGACAGTGCATCATTGGCAGCACTGGATCCACCAAGCCCACGAACAGCTGGACTAGATAGACTGCGATGCACCCTTTGACTTACTTCAGAGAAGGAGAAAAAAAGCTCAAATCGAAAACTCATTTTAGCTCCTGACACAGATGTCGGAGAATTTGAGTGTTGTTTTTGTCGTTTTTGTTTTTCCTTCTGATACTTACAAAGTCAAAACGGCTCGTTTAACCGCCGGTGCCAGAGTTTGTTGGTCCGGTGACAGTCCACGGAATTGCTAGCGTGTATCTGCGACACACCATAGGATCCTACTCCTGCACCACCTTCTTCTTCTTCTTCTTCTTTCTTCTTCTGCTTCGCTATGTTGGTGTGAGCTAGCTGTATCAGAAATCAGGAAGTGAAACTACTCACGAGTTGAAGTCTATATATTTGACATTGGTTTATTATTTGGAAAAGAATTCTATTTTTTATTATTATTTTAGAACTGGGACCCACCAAAGACTTTGATCCTCGCCGCTCAGGAATGGCCCATTTTGCCCTGAATGAATATTGAGCGATGGTATGATTTTATTCAGATTCCGCAAGGATGATCGATTCCTATGGTTTTGACGGGTTCAGATTTGCTAGTTCCGTCAAGTAAGTTCATTTGATACGTAAAAAACTGTCATAATTTTTTTTTCATCTGATATATCTATGTTTTAACTTCAATGAACATAGATAAAATAATGATACAAAAAGTGTCACGGCCAAAAAATTTCATGTCGAAAAACAAGTTCAAATTATTAAACAAGATAAAATTTACGAATGCGAAGAAGCTAAAGAACAAAGAAGAGAAACAAAAGAGCTATCGCTTGTCGAACAAAATTGACGTTAAGGTAGGACATTCAAATTTTAGATGTGGGTCTTTTTTTTAAAAAAAAATTAGGGTTCATATTTGTAATAACTGGATAATTAAAGTGAGTATTTGAAATTTTAAAAATTCATAATAATAAAATTTACTTATTTGGACAAATCCAAATACCACTAATTCAGACCCTGTACAAATATATTCTACCCGACCTTGACATATTAATATGGGAGAATTTTATTTAGGGCCTCTATAGTACAAAATTTTACATTTAAAATCTAATACAATCAAAAGCCTTAAGTGAAAATATGTTTTAATAAAAAAAAAACACATTTGCCTTTAGACATTTTGTTGTTAATTACAAGGCATCATGTTAAAAATTTATGAACATTATGTTGCTCATTTATGGATATTTTGTTGTGCATTCATTCTATGCAACTAGTACATTTCAAGTTAAATAATTTTACTATACCAATTATACATTACAAGACATTGTGTCGTTCATTTATTGATACATATTGTTCTTTCATCTTGCGCAATTTGTATATTTCAAGTTAAACCATTTCTACTAGATTAATTATATATCACAGGATATTATGTTTTGTATTCATGAAAAGAGAGAGGACAAATATGTCTTTTTTTATTAAAATATATTTCACTTAAGGCCATTGAACTTGCTAAGAGTTTTCATATTGTATTATGTCATATTTACAATTTTTTGTGCTTTGGGGCCTAAGTGAGATTCTTCTTGTTAATATATTCTATCAGTTACAAATTACAATATTTTGGTATAAAATTTTTGGATATATTTAAGAAAAGCCCATTTGGAGTGGAATTGATCATATTTGTTTTTCATGTCACCCTTTAAAAATAGAACAACTTGCAAACTAAATGTTTTATAAAATTAAATTAAGCATGTAAATCAATGTGCATGTCTTGTGGTTGTCTGCTAATCCACCGGATACAAAGATTAATTAACTTAATTAATATCATAGTTTCTTAAAACTTAAGTCTTCACTAATTATTACATATATTATGAAATAGGGAATTGACCTATAAGATAGGTATTGTTTTGTGACAGAGAATGATTGAGTGAAAATGAGAAATGAATATACCTCTTCATTTTGTTGGTGTTAATATAATAATATGATTATGTTTAAAAGATACAGGCGAAATAATGTGCGGCCTAATTAAAAAAAAAACAGAGAGGGAAAATAAGTAATGAAAATTTTGCGATATTTACATGCACAATTATTGTTTATTTTATTTGAATATATAAATGAACAAAATATAGAAAAATATTTTTAAAAAAGTAGGTTGGATGAGAGGAAGTTGATCATTTATTGTGTTTGAAATTGGCGAGTGAAGAAAATAAGAATATGTATTGAGAGAGCCTGACTTGGGAAACGGTCAACAAATGTACCAGATTATGTAATAATCGCCAAAATAAAAAAAAAATGCTAAATTGAAATTAATCACACAAATGGATATAGAAAGGAATTTTGTTTACTTAATATACTTATTAATTGGCTAAATTATACTTAATCTTTAAATTTTAACTTAATACAACTCAACTTTATAATTTTGACTCAAATTGAAATTCAGTTCCTAAATTTTAATTCATAGTAACTAAGTCTCTATAATTTTTTTTAAAAAATAAGTTAGTCCATGTAATTTTATTTTTTAAAATATAGTAAATAATATTTTAAATAGTTAAAATTATATCAACTGAATTATATTGAATTAAAATTCTAAAGATTAGATTACAATTGGTTGAAATTCAAAAGTTGAGTTTTACTCTAATCATCATAAGCTATAGGAATGAAATGATTAATTTTCTATTTTTCCTTAATATTTTTAATTTATGTAAAAATTTAAAAATCTGCTTATTTTGTTTTGATTGAAAATAAGAACACTAAAATATTTAACAAAACATTAATTGACCGAAAACTCTGGCTAGAAACTGTTTTTTTTTTAATCTTTTGCCTGACCCGATTTAAATCACCCGAAAGGAGTTTTTATATATATATATATATATATATTAAAAAAAATTCAGAATTAGCCGCAATCAATGTGGATTTGGAATAATTTTTTCTTTAAAAAAAAAGTAACAGAAAAGCGCAGCGTGTAAGACGGCCGGTCCCAACGGATCGTACATCGAAGCACTTTGACGAAACGGAATAGCGCGACGCGAGGGGATCGGTGCCGTCGTCACGTGAGTTTCAGTGCTTGATTGCCTCACACGTGTTCACCACCCATTCGCCTCTCACTAACGTGCGCCTTAGTGCGTCAATAATCAATGATGTGGTAGAGCCAAGACTAACACTATGAAATATGAACGAATGATGATGAAAGTTGAATTAATGGAAGTAAGATCCTTCTTCGAAGTAGATATTCTCTCCGTGTCAATCAATCAATTTATAAGTAAAATCTTGTGTACTAATAAATTTTATTAAACATATTTAATAATTTTATTTTTTAAAATAAAAACATATATTAAAAAATATTTTTTATTTAATATATTAAAAAGAAATAAGGATGTAAATTAAATAGAAAGAAAATATAATATTAAAATAAATATATTAAATGAAACCTTAGGTCCCATTTAGTGAATACAAAGAAAAAGAATAGAATAGATTACAAAAATAATATAAAAATAAAATATATATTTTTTCATGATAAATATGATAAAATGTATTAATATGTACTGCATATTTACCATCAAACCTTTTAAAAATTTCATGAATTATGATTTTCAATCTCATAAACTAAGTTATCCTTCTTCCTTGTTAATGTGATTCACCATCTCTTTTGATCATATCATTTTTATTTTTATTTTTTCAATACATTCTCCTCCATTCATTTATAGTAACTGGATAGAACCTTAATTTTCTCAAAGTATTTTATATTTTAAAATATAAAATTTCTCCTAAAAATGTTTTATAAGTTAGGATGAAAAGAGTAGTATAACGTACTCACATGATTTTATTATAACTTACTTTTAGTATGCTTCATTAGAATTAAAAAAATTTAAAACTTATTAACTATTTAAATTTAATAAGTTTTTAACATTAATTCTAATATATATATATATATATATTCATTTTTTAGTAACATATTTTATAACAAGACTGGAAAACCATTGCTAACTCCTTCATTGTTCTAAAAAAAAGTTGATAAAATTTTAATATTTTAAAAATTTACATTTGTTTAAATATAAATGTCTTAATATTAACAATTAAAATTTTAATGTATCATTTTTTAAAAAAAATAAATAAAACAGGATTATAGTTAAAAATATTATAAAATTTAATTAATATCCTATATTTTTTATCAAAAAGTACTTCTAAAAATGCCATATATTGTGATCCATATATAAAAAATTTAAAAGATATAAGTTATAAATATTAATTCAGAAATTATTTATAATATGATAATTACATTTAAAATATAAATATTTATCTAAAATTAATTCATTAATTTGAAATTATTTGAATTATTATTTTTCTTTTTTTTATGAGGTTCCTTTTTTTTTTGGGACCTAAACATGATTATGGAAGCTCTCTTTTGTACTTTTATCAAGGCCGCGAAAGCCGAAAACGGGGCGTCGTTTTGCGCTGTTATCATCGGGATGGGAAGGGTACATCATCGTATGGATATGGAAGCAACTAAAAGAACAAAATTGAATTGGATCGATAAACGACGGGTCCACGTTGCCCGTTCTTGCGTCTTTGAAAAAGCTTGTCATCATGACTGCAGAGTGTAGACTTTGTGAGAAAAATGTCTACCATATAAATGTCTACTAAAATTCCTCATCATTTTCTTATCTTCACTTTCGAGTAATTAATGAAAAAAAAAATAGAATAATGTCTTGAATACAAATTTCCATCTGGCTTCCTTTAGTGAGATGGGTTAGGCAAGTTTTGAATTAAAATATTTTGTAAACTGTTCTATTTTTTATTTTAAAAATAGAAAATAAAAATATCTTAAAATTAATTTCTTCTTTTTTTTTCAAACACACTGTTGAAAACTATCGTCAAACGTGGCCAACTATAATCATAATTTATCATTATCAGCCAATTTTTAACTCTAAAATTATTTTTAAATTAACCTAATTTAATAAATTTCCTTTTTTGAAAAATAAATTTTAAAAGACTATTTACAAAATAATTTTTAAAAATAAAAAAAAGGAAATATATAAAATCAAGCAAGCCATAAGTATCAAAGGTTTCTCCATTATTTATTTATCATGAACTTAGAAAATTTTGTTGCTTTTTAATGCATTTTATTTGGTTAAGGAATGAGTCATATTGTTGTTTAATTTCAATAAAAAGACAAAAGAATCA